CCGTGTCATTTCTTCTTCACCGACTCCGTCCACACCTTTGGGGACCCCTGGACCTGCTGGGGTTGGACCCCGGCAAGGAAGCGAGCATATACAATGGGAAAGGACAGTCTCTTCAATAAATGTTGCTGGGAAAACTGGCAGCCACATGCAAAAGAGTGAAACTGGACTGCTCTCTTATACCACACATTCAAATTAAGGACAAATGGATTAAAGTACTGAAACCATGATTCTTTTAGAAGAAAACATAGGTGTAAGCTCCTTGACATCAGTCAAGTGATGATATTTTGGATTTGCAAAAACCAAGGCAATAAAAGCACAAATAAAGAGAACTACATCAGACTAAAGATCTTCTGCACAGCAAAGGAAACCACCAACAAAATAAAAAGACAGCATACTGAATAGGAGAAAATATTTGCAAATCACATATCTAATAAGGGGTTAATATCCAAAATATATAAAGAACTCATACAGCTCAATAGCAAAATAAACCAGATTCCAATTAAAAGGTGGACAGAAGCTCTGAATAAACATTTTTCCAAAGACACACAGATGGCCAATGGGTACATGAAAAAGTGCTCAACATCACTTTTAACAGGGAAATGTAAATCAAAATCATAATGAGATGCTACCTCACACCTGTTAGGATGGCTATTATCAAAAGACAAGGAATACCCAGTATTGGTGAGGCTGTGGAGAATAGAAGCCTTGTGTACTGTTAGTGGAAAGTGGTGAAGCCACTATGGAAACCAGGACGAAGATTCTTCAAAATATTAAAGGTAGAATTACCATATGATCCAGCAAATCCATTTCTGGGTATTTATCCAAAGGAAATGAAGCATTGACTTGAAAATATAGCTGGACCCCATGTTCATTGCAGCATTATTTGCCATAGCCAAGACATGGAAGCAACTGTCCTGGCCCGTGTGGCTCAGTTGGTTGGGCATCATCCTGTGCAACAAAAGGTTGCAAGTTCAATTCCTTGTCAGGGCACATGCCCAGATTATGAACTGTGGGCTCAATACCCGGTAGGGGGTGTACAAGAGGCAACCGTTCAATAGACGTGCTCCTATCTAACATCAATGTTTCTCCCTCTCGCTAGGAACAACCTGAGTATCTATCTACAGATGAATAATAAAGAAAATATGGTATGTGCATTTATATATGCAGGGAGTATTATTCAGTCATCTTATTCATAAAAAAGAAGGAATTCTTGCCATTTGTGACAACAGGGATGGACCATGGGATGGCATGATGCTAAGTGAAATAAGTAGCCTGAGAAAGTTAAATATTATATGGTCCCACTTATATGTGGAATTTAAAAAAAAGGAAAAAGACCCTGAGATCATAGATACAGAGAACAGATTGGTAGTTCCAGAGGTGGGGGTAAGAGTGGGTGAAATGGGTGAATGTGGTCAAAATTACAAACTTCCAGTTATAAAATAAACTAAAGGCCCAGTGCACAACATTTGTGCACTGAAGGGGAGGGGGTCCCTCAGCCTGGCCTGAGCCCTCTCGCAGTCCGGGACCCCTTGGGGGATGTTTGACTGCCCACAGGGAGTGGGCCTAAGCCGGCAGTCGGACATCCCCTGAGAGGTCCTTACTGCTTCTGCAGAGGTGGGAGAGGCTCCTGCGACTGCCACTGTGCTAGCTAGCCATGACCCCACTGGTGAGCCTGGCTTCTGGTTGAGTGGCGCTCCCCTTGTGGGAGCACACTGACCACAGGGGTCAGCTCTTGCATTGAGCATCTTCCCCCTGGTGGTCAGTGTGTGTCATAATGACCAATCATTCCGCCATTTGGCCAATTTGCATATTAGGGTTTTATTATATAGGATAAGTCATGGGATGTAATATACAGCATGGCTATTATGTAATGTACAACATGGTGGCTATAGTTACTAATACTGTATTGTATATTTGAAAGTTCCTAAAAGGGTAGATCATAAAAGTTCTCATCAAAAGAAAACATTGTGTAACTATGTGTGGTGATGGATATTAACTAAACTTACTGTGGTGATCATTTCACAATATATACAAATATTGAATCATTATTTTGTACATCTGAAATTAATAATATATATCAATTATACTTCAATTTTAAAAACTCACAAGATAAAGGTTACAACCCTAGAGGTATAAGGGTAAAGATTTTAACAGGCACCTCATAAAGGAGGATATTCTGGATGACTATTAAACCAAGGAAAAAGTATTCAGAGCAACTAGACTTCAGGAAAAGGCAACTTAAACTCACAATATGACAGATCTACATACGCACCAAAATGGCTAAAGTAAAAAAGATAGAAATATCTTTTTCATGTATTTGAGACTATATAGAGCAACTATAACTGAAACTCTGCTGAACGAAGTGAAAACCAGTACAACCACTTTGGGGAAAGGGTCAATAACTACTGAAGCTAATTTTTGCATAATTTAAGTCCATCAAGTCCACAGGAAAACACACACACAACTGTTTACAACAGCACTAATATTGATTGCCCCAAGCTGGAAACAATACTAATATCCATCAGTAGCAAAAAGGAAAAATAAATGGTGCCATAGTTATAAAATGGTGGTGCCCACAATGATAATGAACAATCTACATGCTACATGCAATGAAGTAGGTAAATATCAAACATAGTGTTCAGCAAATGAAGCCAGACACAAGCAAGTGCGTGCTGGTATTTCCATCTGTGAACAGTCAAAACAAGTAAAACTAACCAACATACAAGTCAAGATAATATTTATCTTCATGTGGATAGACTGGAAGAGAGTACACAGGGGCTTTCTGAGGGAGCTGGAAAAGTTCTGATTCTTAATCTCCATGCTAATTATACAGGTGTGTCACTGTAGTAGCGCATCACTAAGTTATACACCTATGAGTATGGACCTTTCCCTAAGTTTGTTGTATTTCAACAATTGCTGTCTCCCCAAAAGTGGTTCAGTGCTTATAGATAGCTGGGAAATGATGCAGAGAAAGAGAAGTAATTCTTTCAGTTAAAATACAGGAAGGGCCTGTGAAAGTCAGCTATCCATTCCACTCAATATACAGGCAAGTGTTTTAAAATATAGTTTCTATTATTATTCAGTTGTGCTGAGACCAACAGGTCAGGAGATAACTGCCATGGAAAAGATATGTGTTATACTCACAGATCCCAAGAGATGGGTACCTGCCACACCACAGGGGACCACACTGGGAGCACTGGGTTGGTCGAGAGGTAGAGGGGTGAGGGGAAAAAGTAGCAGGAGCCTTTGTCATGGTTTCCATGAGAAGGAACAAGCAAGGCAGAATAAGCAGGTGTAGGACAGGCTAGTTTCAATAATTCCAGTGGGCTCTGCAGTGTGGTAGTTGTCCCTAGGCTGGTACCTGGCCCGAGGTGACTTGGCCAGGGAAATAGTGACCCAGAGTGTAAGAGCTCAATACAGGTGGTGGTTGGGACTTCCGGTTTATGAAAATCATGCTCCCAGAGGAATGGTTTGCCATATCTGAGAATCAGCTGGCCCTGGGAAGGGTGGAGCCTTCTGGGTCAGCAAGACTCCAAGATGTCAAAGTATCAAAACTGCAGAATAAACAGACATGATGAATGTTGTGAGATGGGGTCATAGAGTTTGATGCCTGACCAAGGTCATCTACCCCATGGCAGAATCTGGACTCTCCTATTTACATGCTGATCATATTGGGGAGGTATTTTTGTGTGGGGTGGAGCATATGATTAAACTCATCTGACACTATGTACTATGCAGGTTTCAGCACTGTCACACATTATATCATTGGGTCTCAAAAATTCTGTCAGGTATGAAGTGAGAATGGTTGCCAAATATTTTGTCCATTTTAGCTTTAAGGAAACTAAAAGTCAAAGTGAAAGAGGTCTAGTGGATGGGTCAAGATCACATAGAAGGAAAGAGGCAGAAACCAGTACTTTAGAAACAAATATTAGTGTGTGGCCTTAATGAGAATAATGTGGGAATAATAGGGCAGAGAGAACATTGAAAGTTGAGGGAGTGGGATGGAGGAATCAGAGATTAAAGTGTAAATGACTGTATTTTGTAAACGCTTAAGGTAGATATGTCATGGGGAGAGGATGGCCAGGGAGAGGAAGAAGCATCTTTTGGGGCATGGGATGCTTGAAGAACAGAACTGAAAAGTATGAGAGAACATTTGGTCCTGAAAGGGTCAGGGCAGTGGGGGTGTTGCCCAGATCCTCCAAGGGTCTGGCATTGGTATAATAAACCTTGTATTTTCATGTCCTGGCCATAATAGCTTCCCAGTATATGTTCATACTTGTCCCACAGGCTGAGGATGGGAATCAAGGTGTTGGTGTGAAGTATGTAGGCGCAGGGCCTGAAGGACAATTTAAAACAGACTGGGCTGGCCCATATGTGCAAGAGAGAGGAGGATGAAACTAGGCAAATCACAATAAAAACTATTTCTTCATCATAGATTAAAATTTGAAATGGGAGAACTAAAGGTAGATCCTAGTGAAGGAATGAACTGGACAGAGAAAGCCGATATTTAATTTGCACCTAGAAATGACCTTCCACTGTGGTAGTGTTGCATGTGTCTGGACCCTCTGTGTGTGGTGGACAGGAGCAGGCAAGAGAAGGGAGGGAAAGCCAGAGAGGGTCATCATGGATTTTGGTGGGAAAATTTCCCCCACTTATATTCTTAGGAAGAGCTTCAGAGAGCACAAGCCAGGCCTGGGCAGATCCCCAACTGGTCATGGTTCTGGACCCACTGGGCTCTATGCTGTGGAAGGTTCAGGGCATGAATGGGAGATGGCAGGAATGGGAGATGGACATAAAGGCTAATGATCAGGGTCTCTAGGGAGGACAATTCTTGGGTTTGTAGGACTGTCCTAATACTTAGGAGGTGGGAATGGTATTCATATGCTTCATGTGTGGAGGGCAAGAGGGTGATGAGAGATCATGTCCCCAGAAGGGCAAGGCTGACAAGGGGCTCTGGGCAGAGTGTCTGAACAACTTCCTTCTCTTGGCCCAGTTCTCACCTCGGTCCTGGGCCTGGCACAGCCCCACCTCAGTGATCTCCCAACACCAGGCCTGCAGCTCAGGGTCCCCTCTCACGACGTCATCCCCGTGGTAGAAGAGGTAGATGATCCCCTCCACGTACCTGCCCAGAGGAGAAGGGAGCTGAGCTCCTTGAGAGTACAAGGCTGTAGCCTATGACATTTAATCCTTTTCGGTGGCTTCTGTCCAACTGACTTTCATTGTCTCTGGGGGCACATCTTACAAGACTTTCCTTTTGGGACATCCCCAACCTTTTTCTACACATTAGTTTAGAAAGGAAATGTGAGACATAAGTTTTAAGCGTTCCCTGTACATGATTAATAACCATTCTTTCTAACAAAACCCAAGTTCTTCCAGATCCCCATCTCCCCATTCTGATTCCCCAAGCTAGGCTCTTCCTTTATTCTACTTTTCAGATCCTACCCACTGTCTCCTCTGCTCCCTCTGTCTGGACCTTCTTCTTTCATGTTCCTTTTTGCCCATACTGACCTCAAGCCAGAGACCCACTCTCCTTCTTCCCAATGGCCTTCCATTTATCAGCTCCCACTCTCACCCACCGGGCAATGATCTCCCAGAGCCGTAAAGCATCATGGGCATAGAGAGCACTTGGGATTCCCAGCAGGCCCCGGTCAGCCAGATCTTCAGGAGGACAGAGGGAGCGGTAGGTCATCTGAGACAAGGCCTGATGGAGCAACTGCACATGGGGCCCGCCTCCTGTGCTCACTGCCTGGAATTTGAGAGTTGACAGGTCTTGAGTGATAAAAGTAGAGCTGGCAATCTTGACATAGTATATAAGGGGTTCACAGTGGGATTTACAAAATTAAAAGTATAAAATGAACAGGCTCATGGGTTTAAGGATCAGGACATTCATACCAGGTGGTGTGAGACTGTGAAGATGGCAGGGGGTTGTAGAGAGATGAAAGATTAGGCAGCCCCATGCCCTCATTTCCTCTTTACCTGACTAAATATTCCACTAGCTGAGTTGACTTGTGTCCGTGCTCGGGTGTTAATCTCCATGGTGTAGCGGGTGTGTGGGATCAGGAGCTGGATGAAGAAGATTAGAGAAGGGTGGTTATTGGAGTCCATGCTTGGGTCCTCCCTTGTAGGGAGTGGCACTCAGCCTGGTGACGTTCTCTCCTCTGGATCTTTTCCTCCCTGCCAGTGCCTCTGCAGGCTGGTCTCCTTCTGCTGCTATGATCACTAACTCTCATGCTCTCCATGACTCTACTGTGAGTGGGGTTGTGGAGCTAGAATGACCTGGGCTTGAGTCCAGGCTTACCTACTCACTTTGGTACTTGTTCAAGTACCTCATCTGTCAATTTCCTCATCTGTCAACAAAGATAATAATAGGTCTCCTAAGTCAGGTGCTGTGGTGGTAATTATATGAGGAATATATAAAGAGTGTTTAGCTCAGTGCCTGGCACACAGAAGCATTGATTAGGAGGTATTATCATTACCTTTATTGTATCCACCTTGAATGTAGTTGTCCATTTAGAACAGTGGTTCTCAACCTTGGCTGCATTCATTCATGAGGCCCAGAAATCAGAATTTTAAAAAAGATTCCCAGGTGATTTTAATGTGCAGCCAAGGTTGAGAACCACTGGTTTAGAAGCTACTCCTTAGCTTTCAATATCGTTTCATGCTTCCTCTTTCATTCACATCTTCTCATTCCTTAAACTAGCCTCTCTGCTCAATTTCAAAGCTCTCCCTCCAACTGCTCATTGTTTTACTCTTGGATTCTTTTGGAAAAAGAGTATCTTCAGTCAGAATTTTAGAAATGATATCAAGCTCCCTGCTTAAGCAGCAAATGGGTTGTCATCAAAGCTGTACCCATTCCTAATTGTCTACTCTTTCCTTCTATTTTTAGCTATTGAAAAGTACAACTAACATATTCTTTTTATCTTAGATGAATTTTATTTCATTTCCTCCTGGTTGATATACAGGATTTAGACTGTTTGAATATTGATCAGAGTTTTATAATGCTGGAATAAAGGAAGGACACAAGTGATACTGCTAATACCAAGTTATCTAGGGGGCTCATATTGTTCTTTTCAGAAAGTTCATGGAGAGATGCTGGTTTCACAGAAAACACTAAGACAACAGTGAGGAGCAAAGGACCCAAAACAGAGTTCCTAACAGCAATGATAGTAATGATGATGATAAACAAAATAATGGCAGAAAACAGACATTTTTCTAGCATTTAGTCTGTAATGCCTTAACAACCCAACAATGCAGATCGCTATCCTCATGAACACACATCTGGTAAGTACTGAGACCAGGATTCAGGCTTCAGACCCAAGCAGTTAATCCAGAGCCTGCACAGGTAACCTTGGTAACTTCTGCAGGCTTAGCCCTCCTGGGAGTTCCAACAAGACTGTCGGCCATGGGATGGAGTTGCTATGGTGAGGGAATATGGCTGTGGACGGGAGCTTATGAATTAAAAGGGTATTTTGAAGTGTAAAAATGGGAATAAGTGATTCAAGCTAGGAGGGAGATGGTGATGATGTTATCAAATCTGAGGACCCATGAACTACATTAGTAACTATTTTATCTATCTCACCCTAGAACCTCGAACAACCACAGCCCACAGGAGTGCTGGCATTGGAACTCCCAGAGACATTACAGATCAGTTTTTCTGCTTGTTAAATACTCATTTGCATATCTTACCAACACTTCAACCTTTGTATTTAAAGCTCAATACCTAATCTTTGCCTCCAAACTGGCTTCTTTTCCTAATTACACTCTTTATGACCACTGCTCCGCTTCACAGGCTTATAGATTTTTGCCCCCTGCTCTGCCCTGTTCCCTGTATCAAAGTGCCATTGAGATCTGGGAAACAATTGTAAGACAAGCACAAGTCTTATTTTACTGCCTTCTGCCTAGCAATAGACACTGAACTCGCTGTTTATAGCATCACAGTATTTCTTGGTCATTCCAACAGTGTTCACTGTGAGCTCCTAGGTCTGGCAGTGCTGAGGCCTCTGACCTTTCTCTCCAATAATATACAGGCATGATGCAGGCAGTCCCCTCCCTTCCATCCGTGTCACCGCCATACTAATGTATATCTTTAGTTTCCTCACACTTGGGTAGATGTCAGTGACCAGCCAGGCTGCTATCCTTGCCCTTTAATTTTGTGCTCCTCATAACATTTGGTTGCAGTAGAACATTCTCCACCAATACTATAGAGTTTATAGCTGTTTCTTTTGATTCCCACCTCTATTCTCAGATATGATTCTTTGACTGTTTGTCATGTCTACCACTTGTCTTCCTGGCTAAATGGCGACATGTGGGTTTAACAAACTATATTCCTACTCTCCTCCAGACCCATTGCTGGAGAATTTCAGAGAATTGACTTGCAATATGTGTATAAAACTGCTAAAGGACTTGATTTAATAGGATAGATCATGTATTATTTCTTATAACTGCATGTGAATTTATAATTGGCATAAAATTAAAAAAAATTTAAACATGAAAATATAACCAGAAGATTCAAGGTGTTGCTATAGTTATCTCTCTCCTGTCCCTTCCTGCCTATGAAGATTCTTTGCTGATACTATATCAGTGCTTGATTATTGCAAAGCAGATTTGTTATATATTCCTAGCCAGATGGCTTAGGCTTTTAAAATCTTGGATAACTGTTGTACTGTTTCACATGTTTCCTTGTGAGCAATATGGGACATGGAGGGTAGAGGATGTACCTTGAAGACAGGGTGCAGTCCTGGGAGGCACCTCATGGTGGCTACAGCGATGACCTCAGCCAGCATATGAGTGTTCAGAAAGTGATATTGTAACTGGTGCAGTTGGAAATCTGAACTTCGGACCCAGGCCTTTGCCAGGAGCCAGGCAAGTGGAGGGTCTGAGGGCAGGAACAGTGGTGGGGTTGGGTAGCTGGCCTTGGGAGGCTGGATCTGCAATAAAGAGGAGCTAAGCATTCATTGACCTCATCATATGTTACACACCATGCTCAGTATTCTGGGGGAAACTGATGACTAATATTATTGTCAAGCAGAGGGCTATAATCTAGTAGGAGGAAGGAGGACCCTTCCAATCATCCTCTCACTAGCTCTGGGGACGTGTGAGTACCATAATGGTCAGGTTCAAACAGGAGGAATTAGAAAGGGGGGAGTTCAGTATGGCCGTAACAGTGGTTTGGGAGAAACCTGATGAAAGTGTGAGTTAGGATGGTAGAGTAGGAAGGAGAAGCTGGATGTGTGAGATACCGGACAATTCTCATCAATTGATTGATGAGAACAGTAAGAGGGGAAATGCATTAAAAACAAAGGGAAAATATGTCCAAGGAAGAAAGGATATTCTACAGATTCAAAGGTCAGAAAAGGTCGAGTAGTCTTAGAGTGAGTACCAACAGAGATCATTCTGACTCTCAAAAAAGGCAATTTCAGGTGAGTAGTGAGTAAGCTGCAAGGTAAAAAGGGAAGACTGGAGACAATGACAAATCTCACTGAGTGAAACAGAGGAGCTGGGACAAGAACTGGCTGTCTTTGTCCCCGGGCAGTGGTTGGGGAGAAGGGAGAGCAGTGTTAGAAAGAGGATTTACAAAATATCTCACCTGGATGACCATGGGTAGCAGCTTCCCACTGGGTTCCATCTTCAGCATGACGAGGGGGGCAGCCAGGTACTGCTTCTCTCCTTGGATCACGTTGGCTGGAATTCCATCCAGCAGGATAAAGTCAGCTTCAAACAGGGAACCATTCTGGGGGGAAAGTTCAAAGTCTACTCCAGAGGGCCAGCACCAAGGGGAAGAAATGTAATAACATTCAGTCTCATTTCTTACAATTATCCTACATCAATATCAGAGTCCTGGTGGCAGAAAGGAAGGAGGCATCCAGAACAATTAGTCGAAGTAATCTCAGTTCACAGTGAGGAAAGAGGCAAAATGAGAGGAATCTTCACCAGGGACATGTTAATTCCCTGTGGCATGGTGGTTTTAAGACCATACCTGACCAATTTCTTTGCACCACATGCATGCTAAGCTTCCCCTTGTCAAGGTGCCCAAGCCTCTTTCCTCATCATATCCTATTTTTCTGCTACCTCTATCTGGCCCCCACCAGTCCCATAGTTTCCTTTACATACTTTATCAACTCTAAGTTTTTCCTGCAAAGGACTCTGCACATAGGAACAGTGGATTAATACAGTCTCCCTTCCCTGATTCACCTCTGGTCCTTCCCCTTCAACACATCCCTTCCCCCACAGACAACGAGAAGACAACCAAGGGCTGGAGGCTGTACCTGGAGTTCTTCTTCCAGCTGGGCCCGAAGCTCCTCCATCCCTGAGGGCAGCACCAGCCGGGAGGGCAGAGAGGTGGAGCGTCTCAACAGCATGGGGTTGGCGCCATTGAGGAACTGGTAGCCAAAAAGCTCATCATCCTGCCAGCGCTGGTGAACCTTCTCTGTAGGTAGGTTTGGAGTGGAGGGAAAGGATATTCACCACAACCTGATGTCCTTCTCCTTTAGGTTTTAATACAGCTATTCAGGCATATGATTACTTTGTATTCAGCCCGTCTTTTCTTTTTGTTGCCTCTGAGAAATGACCAGGCATACAGTCTTCTCCTCTGGGAACTACTTATGAGGGTCTATGGAGTAAGAAGTTTGGGACAACAAAACACGCTATTAAGAATTTACAAATGTCTATGGGAATACTGACCACAAAGAGTGCTCTTGGGGCCCCAGAAGATCTGATCAAAATCCTCTAGGCTGTCCCAGGAGTTCAGGAGGGTGTAAACACGTTTGAGGACCATCTCCAGTGCCCTAGGATAAATGTCAAGGATGGCACTGTCAACTCACCAAATCCTGCCTGTAACGGGATCCACCACTACCCACTCCATTGGCATCTGTTCTCACCCTGTCTTCCCTGTCCATTCATAGTCCAGCCTCTTTTCACCATGAAATTTCATATCTGGGGGCAGATCCTTCACAGAGTCCGCAGCTATTGTCAGGGGTAGCCCTTCCTTCCAGATGCCCCAACTAGTAGATGGGGAGAAGAGTTCAGGGAAGAATTAGGGAGTCAGTGATAGTGGCAGGATCAGAGAAGAGGTGGGAAATTCAGGAGGGCTATGGATGGGTGGTTACCAGTAGATCAACTGTCTTTCCTTCAGTTCTTTCTCTCGATGCTTCTGGAACTCGTCCGAGGTACTCTCCCCTGCCAGGCGGGCTGGGAGAACATTTGATCACATTGTTTGTCCAACTCATGCTATCCCTGACTTGATCTAATCTCTCATTCTTGACTATATTGCATCTGACTCTTGCCTTTTTCTCTGACTCTACCTCACCTGATGTATTCCCAAAGTCACTTATTGTATCTTTACCCACACCCAATTCATTTCACCTATTTCAACCCCATGTTTGTCCTTAACAACATCCCATGTTTTCTTCCCTTTCATGTTCCTTAAATCAAATTCCACTACTTGTGCCTATAGATGATTATGAATTTTCTCCTCAGTCACGTGCCATATCCACAATATCCATATTATTATATACTAGAGGCCCGGTGCACAGATTTGTGCACCAGTGGGGTCCTTCAACCTATCCTGTGAGGATCGGGCTAAAACTGCTCTCCGACATCGCCCAAGGGGTCCCAGATTGCAAGAGGGTGGTTCTCACGTGACACACCATAGAATCGGGCTCCCTCCTTGGCAGCTCCTGCTTTGAGTGTCTGCCCCCTAGTGGTCAGTGCACATCATAGTTACCAGTTGGAGCATCTGCCCCCTGGTGGTCATTATGCATCAAGCTACTGGTCAGATGGTCCAACCATTAGACAGTTGCTTAGGCTTTTATATATATAGATTGCCTTTGTTAATCTCATCTATGTTGGCCTTCCCCTTTCTACTCCTTCACCTGTCCTCCGAATGACATATTTCATATTCATTATACATACGCACTATGCTCTTCCTTGTCCCTACCGCCACCTGATTCCTGAGACAAAAATTCTATGTGTGCTCCCTTCAACCATCCCATGTCATCTGTGTTAGGGAACAAATAGTTCCATGTTGCTACCTTTCCCTCACTCCATCTCACCTAGCCTCACCATCACATGGTTTATATTTGTTAACCTGATTTGTCCTTTTCTCACTTCTATCTATATTATCCCTCAAAGACACCTATTTCATGTTTCCATTTTTTATTAAATTTATTGGGATATAATATTGATTAATAACATCATATAAAATTCAGATGTACAATATGACATTTGTATACTCTGAGTTTGTTCAGAGTAACTATATATTTGACCCTCTTTACCCTCTTTGTCTTCCCTCTGGTAACCACCATTCTGTTGTCTGTATCTATGAGTTTGTATTTTTGTTTTGTTTGTTCACTTGCTGCTTTTTGTTTTATATCCCACATAAGAATCAAATTGCATATTTCTAGTCCTTTTCTTTTGATATTTCCTTTAATAATACTCTCAAGATCCATCCATGTTGTCTCAAACACCAATATTTCATCTTTCTTATGGCTGATCAGTCTCCATTCTTACATGCCATTGTTCTCAATTTTCTCTCTTAGTCAGATCTGTCCTCCACGTGTCCCACAGCAACAAATACCCTATAGCCCCTGCTCACTCACCCCCATCCCAGTCAGAGTGCTCCCTGCCCTCACAGTTGTCTTTCATGTTGTCACAGCCAAAGCAGCTCTTCACATCATATCATTTATTGCTCCCCTTCCCTGCCTCCTCTCAGGGGTCCCATGTGCTAGCCTTACCTGTCCCTGCCCTAACTTGTTCCATTCCCTCTGCTCACGTACTTGGGAGGTCGAATCTACACAGCATTCACTTCCCTGTCCAGTCCCACTTCAGACCTTTTTCATTCTATGTATAACTTTCCCTCCTTTCCTGACTTGGGCCCTCTAACCTGCTGAGCGCGCACTTTTTTCAAATCCCTCAGACCTTCCTCTGTGCTCCCCCGCATTCTCCAGTAGCCCCTTCCCCCGTTCCCGCACTACTCCCTGGGCCCTGCTCCCATTTCCCCGAGGCGGCCCCTCACCGGTGCCCTCGGGCAGGGTCAGCACCCCCTGGCCCTGCACCCAGCGGTAGCAGGGGAAGGCGGCCTCCTCTAAGGCTTCTGGGCCCTGCACGGTGATGCGGTCGCAGAACCAGGCGTTGTCCACCAGGGAGTGGTGTTTGCGCAACTTCACGAACTGCAGTGGCCCCAGGTCCTGGGGAATGTCCTGTTCGAACTCCTCCGCCTGTGGGGACCAGAACCCGGTGAGACTTAGTAGTGGGGACCCAGGAGAGGATGTTTTACTGGACGCGGGGTCCTCTCTGGAGTCAGGTGACAAGGCCTCCAGGGACAGCATTGCCTCCTCCCAACACCTGTGCGGTGGGTCTCAAACTCCCCATCGCACCAGTAGGACCAGGGAGTCGGGATGAGGCCACAGTAACTTGAGCACTGAGGACCATCACCTGCACCAGCGCCAGAGCTCTAGGAGGACCCTCCCCTTTGACCATTGATCCCATAATGACACTGGCATGGGGTCACTTAGGAAGGAGTGGAGGTTGTGTGGACAAGGGTCTAGGGGAGGGAGAAGGAGTTGAGCCCAGCTAGGCCCTGGCTCTGAACCTCTCACCCACCCAGGTGCATGGAGCCCTTCTCACTGGAAGTCCCAGCTAGCATGGATGCTCCCTCAGACCCAGAGAAGAGCCAGGCCCCGGTGGCCACGTGGATGCGGTAGCGGCCCATGGCAGCAGGTGGGCTCTCCTCGGTGGCAGAGGTCCCCTTACTGATACCAGACAAAGATTCCACGGCCAGACTTCGTCCTGCTGCCTCAGGACAAGTCCAGGGCTTAATAAAGCAGCACTGGGTGTGCCAGCCCACTCCAGGATTGGGCCCCACCCCGGACAAACCAGAACCGGGGATTAGCCCAGGGGGTGGGGGAAAGGCTGCTGATCCTCTGAGCAAAGTGCTGAGAATGGGGCTTAGAGGAAGATGAGGGGCTGAGCCTGGGCGGGGGAAGAGAGGTAGAGGGGCAGGGAGATTCCACCAGAGTTTTCTTTCTAGGCTCTCATTCCCCGCAACGACACCCACTGCCTGGTTGTACTACTAAATAGCATTTTCTGAAGGGGTCCTGGGTGCCATCCCTTTTATTTCTTCCAGTATCTGGTGCCCCTGGGCAACTGTACTCACTTTCTATTCACCTACCAGGTCTGTGTGCCAAAGGGACACTGGGATTGCCGTTGTGGGCTAGAGAAAGCCCTTCTTGCAGACACTTCAGAGGTCAGGGATAATTAGAGTATTTCCTGTAGTAATACTTTCGGTGCCCAAGCACCTAGAGTAGCCAATGTACTACTTTTCTCCCTTTTGTTTTCTCTCTACACCCCCATCTCAGACAGACAACCAATGTCAATATTTACTGTTTCTGCTTCTCCATTTCTTTCTGTTAATCAGATTGTTTCATATGGTTTATGTCATTTCTTCCACAAAAATGGTCACACTACACATTTATTTTCTTGGAAGTTGCTTCCCACAGTTAACAATTCGTGAGGAGAATATCTTCAGATCAATAGATGGAGATCTAACTGCTCTCTTCTCCAGCTTGAAGGATTGCCCTCTTGATGGTTTTCAGTATAAACTGCGATGAGTGCTTTAATGAACTCTGTTGTATATATACCCTTATGTACCCTCATATTTATAGGATAGATTCCCCGAAATGAGATTTCACATGAAAATGCTTGTATATATTGTATATTGGCTATCCCTTTTAAACTACGATTTTCAGATATGCTTGACATGTAAAGTCCACACATATTTGATGTATAAAATTAATGAATTTGCCAATAAGTGTACAACAATGTATATTATTGTCAAATTGCTTCCCAAAAGGCTGTAGCATGGTACCAGAGTGCCCCTTTCTCTGCATCTCCAACACCATAGAAAGCTATAATTTAAAAAATTTTTGCCAATAGGTTGGATGTAATTTTCAAGAACACTGAAGGGTCTGGGATTTTACCCAACTTAAAAACCAGTAAGGTTTGACTACTTGCTGTTTGAGGAATGGGAGCAGAAGACACATAACTTCTAGTTCAGTAACAAAGGGGATATTATTAGTCAGAGCAAAGCAGTAGCCACAGTTCATATTCACATCAGTTCCTCATGCCCTACCACTTACAACAATTGTGATGCCGGAGAGTCTAGGTGAGTGGCAGCACACACAGTGGGCTGCATTACAGGAGAGGACCGTGAGTTTGGGGAACTTGCCACTCTTGTGGTAAGCAGATCCAAGTCCATTCATTGTCTACAGGATATTACCTCATTTCCATGCTTCCCCCCTGCTGAAACAACCTTGATAAATAGTAATGAGCTGTCAGGGCTTTGTATTTCTGACATACCCAGCAGGAAGACCTAGGGCAGCGGTTCTCAACCTGTGGGTCACGACCCCTTTGGGCCTTCCAATGCTCTATTTCTCCATTTAATAATAAATGCATGGACTTACTCAATTCTGGATAGAAAGATAAAATATTGCAAAGGCACATACTCTCCTGAATTAATCTAAAATTTACATATATATTTAATATGCAAATTAGGCCAGGAAGCTTTAACACAGTGGTTCTCAACCTGTGGGTCGCAACCCCTTTGGGGGTTGAACGACCCTTTCACAGAGTCGCCTAAGACCATTGGAAAACACATATATAATTATATATTGTTTTTGTGATTAATCACTATGCTTTAGTTATGTTCAATTTGTAACAATGAGTTTGGGGGTCACCACAACATGAGGAACTGTATTAAAGGGTCGTGGCATTAGGAAGGTTGAGAACCACTGACCTGGGGGCACTCAAAGTCCATCGCAGATCGCCAATCCCAATAGAATGATGTATTTTAGCTGCTTAACCTCATCTAAAGCTTCATAATGAATATAAAATAAAATCCGAGTTCCTCACCAAGGTGTGATTTGCACAGTTAAATTTACTCTTAGTCTAATGAAGAGGAAATACATAGAAAAAGGAAGTAATAGATGTGGCCAGAAGAAAGTTCTGTACACATTAAGATGGCGAACCCCTAAGTTTGGATAGAGCATGACCCACACCTTTCCATGAATCTAATACTATAGCAGCAAGCCTATTATTCCAGGCTCTCGGCTCCGGTGGGTCTTCACTCTGCATGAGTACTGTGACCACTGAACTTCTAGCACGCCTCCACCAGAAAAAGGACTCAATAGGAACCACAGCTACTTCACTCCCCAAGACCTCTATGCCTGATCTTCAGTATGTCCTTTCAACCTTATACTTGCAGGCTCAGCAAGAGACTGACCTTAAACCAATTCCAATTCCACATTCTTGCCAACTTCTAATCCAGGACAAGTCCAGGGCTTAATAAAGCAGGACTGTGTGTGCCAGCCCACTACAGGATTGGGCTCCACCCCAGACAAACTATAACCTGGGATTAGCTCAGAGGGTGGGGGAAAGGTGGCTGTTCCTCTGAGCCTGGGTGCAGGAAGAGAGAGAGGGACAGGGAGAATCCACCAGTTTTCTTTCTAGCCCTCATGCCCCCCACATACACCTGCACCCTCGTTTTACTATTGAATAGCATTTTCTGAAGGCATCCTGAGTGCCAGTCTCTTTTTTTGCTGGCAGTGCCTGGTGCCCCTGGGTGACTGTACCCACTTTCTCTTTGCCTACCAGGTCTGCTTGCTGAATGGGCATTGGGATTCTCAGTGTGGGCCAGAAAGGGCCTTTCTTGAGAAACACCATTCAGCTAGAGAGCAGCGAATGTACTCCTTATCTCCCTTTTGTTTTCTATCCACACCCCAATCCCAAGGCACACAGCCAATGTCAATATATGCTATTTCTGCTTCTCCATTCCTTTCCGTTAATAGGATTGTTTCATGTGGTTTATGTCATTTCTTCCACAAAAATGAGGTCACACTATACATTTTATTTTCTTGGAGTTACTTTCCACAGTCACCAATGCATGATGAGACTATCTTCAGATCAAAAGATGGAGATCTAACTCCTTTCTTCCCAACTGGAAGGATTACCCCCTTGATGGGTATTCAGTGCTGACTATGATGAGTGCTTTAATAAACACCTTTGTAGGTATACTCTTATGCACCCTTATAGTTAAAGAACAGATTCCCAGAATTGAGATTTCAGACTAAAATGCTTGTATATATTTTATATTATGTATTACATATATTTTTGAAAACCACATTTTTATAGTATGCTTGATGTGTAAAATCTGTACGTATTTGATGTATAAAATTTAATTTTTGCCAATAAGTATACACCAGTGTATTTTATTGTTAAACTAGAGGCCCAGTGCATGGATGGGGTCCCTCGGCCTGGCCAGCAATCTGTGGCAGATTGGCTGGCCAGTCAGGAGGGCTGGTCAGCTGGGGGGGAGGGGCCATGGAGGTTGGCCAGCTGGCCCCCCTGATCGGGGCCAATGGGGCCTGCATTGAGAATCTGCCCCTTGGTGGTCAGTGAGCATCATGTGACTGGTTGACCAGTCGTTCCAGTCATTCCAGTCATTCTGGTCGTTTGGTTGTAATAGTCGCTTAGGGTTTTACATATATAGATTGCTTACCAAAAAAGCCGTAGCATGGTACCAAAGGGCTCTTATCTCTGCACCTCCACCAGCATAGAAAATTATCTCTTTTTAATTTTTGCTAATAAAATAGAACTGATTTTGAAGGGAAAACAAGCTGGTGTGGGATTTTATCCAACTTAAAAACTAGTTAGGTTTGTCTAGTTGCTGTTTAGCTGATGATGGCAGAATACAAAAAACTTCAAGTTCAGTAACAAAGCAACATTTTTACTCAGACCAAAAGCAATAGCCACAGTCCATATTCATATCAGTTCCTCATGCCCTCCCATGTCCCACAAGTGTGATGCAGATGCGTCTAGGTGAGTGACAGCACATACAGTGGGCTGCATTTTAGGGGAGGAGCATTGAGTTTGGGGAACTCACCACTTTTGTGGTAAGCAGATCCATGTCCATTCTCTGTCTACAGGAACATGACCTCATCACTCAGGGTTGCTCACTGCGGAAGCAACCTTGATAAATAGCCCCAAGTAAAGAGCACTGAGGCTTTGCATTTCTGACATACCCAGCAGGAAGGCCTAGGGGCACTCAGGGCCCATGGCACATCACCAATCCCAATAGAATGAGGCATGTCAGCTGCTTAAACCCTTCTAAGAGCTTCCTAATGAATATATAATAAAACCCAAATTCCTCATCAAGGTGTGGTTGCCACAGTTAAACCTGTTCTCAGTGTAATGATAAGGAAATATGTACAAAAGGGAAGTACTTAAATGTAGCCCAGCATGTAGTCAATATACATTTAGATGGTGAACCCCTGAGTTTTGATAGAGCATGACCCACACCTCTCCATGAAGCTAATACTATACCAGCAATTGTATTATTCCAGGCTCTCTGCCCTGATGAATCTTCACTCTGCATTACAGTGACCACTGAACATCAAGCACACTTCCACCAGAAAAAGGACTCAACATGGAACCACAGCTACTTCACTCCACCAGACCTCTATGCCTGATCTTTGGTATGTCCCTTAAACCTTATACTTGCAGACTCAACAACAGCCTGACTTTTTTTTTTTTAATATATTTTATTGATTGTTTACAGAGAGGAAGGGAGAGAGATAGAGAGTTAGAAACATCGATGAGAGAGAAACATCGATCAGCTGCTTCCTGCACACACCCCACTGGGGATGTGCCCGCAACCCAGGTACATGCCCTTGACCGGAATCGAACCCGGGACCCTTCAGTCCGCAGGCTGATGCTCTATCCACTGAGCCAAACCGGTCCCGGCACAACAGCCTGACTTTAAACCAATTCCCATTCCACATTCTTTCCAACTTCTAATCAAGTCATCTTTATGCATTATTTTACTTCTTAGGTATATACAGGCTAATAAATAACGCAGGAATGATGGAGTTATTATATAAACAGTTTGCAACCCCTAAAAAAATAATACATCTAAAAATGGTTATCTACAGTGGCTAAATGCACAAAAAAAGACATTGTCAATGATTATGTGCCTCTGGCAGAAATATTTTGAACCGACTATCTGAAGGCATCTTGAAACATAACACTGTTAGCAATTCTCATCAAATTTAAATTTGTAACTACCAACCTGTAGGAAGTACAAAGGTAAAGGAGCATGTTACACCATGAGGAAATAATCAGCGAAATCCACTGGGGAGACGAACAACCTTGTTTCATCACATAAACATGGCAAGAAATGAAAAGAGAGAGGAAAATGAGACATACATATGAAATACAAGTGACTTCAGAAACAATTACAACACATGAACCATAAATAACATTGATCTTGGGTTTGGGAATTGTCTGGGGATTATTGCTTTTCAGTACACATGTTTTGTGTCAGCAGAATATCTGAACATGGAGTGTGATTGATAAATTCACAGAACAATTTCTACAACTACAAATAATGAATGGATGTCAGGGAAGATGTATAAAAGGAGGTCATTTGATATTTTAGAGAAAAGAGGGGCCAGAATGCAGCAAGAAGTGTGAGAGATCAAGGCAGGAGTTCTCTTTTGGATGGAATAGGTTTGAGGATACTTGGATGGCAAAGAACTAGTAGAGAAAGAACATTTAAGATGCAGGGTACAGAAGGCATAACTGAAGAAGAAACAACATGATGGGTGTGGGAGGATAAAATTCAAACCATATATGCAAGAATTCCTGTTGGATGGACAGGGAGACCCTTCCTTTCTAACAGAAGGCAACACATAGAAAATTCTGTGTAGGGATAACGAGGAGGTTCCCACCTCACAGTTTCTATGTTCACTCCTCTTCCTAACCCTCATGCTAGATGTCCTCTACTTCTCAGGGACCCAGGTGTCACAGTCCCAGAGCTGAGCCAGATGGCAGCACCAGACCTTCTCAGATTTCTCCTTTCATCTTGGACAGGCAAGTTTAAATTTCAGATAAGAATGGAGCCCACCTAGCCGGCATAGGGGGCAAAGGCTACCCGATTTGGCGGGGGGAGGTGTCTCTTCTTACAGTTCTAAGCTCTATTTACATTTATTTTTATTGGCTCTTTTTATTGAATTTATTGGGGTTACATAGGTTAATAAAGTTACATAGGTTAATAAAGTTACAAACTGTAATACATCATCTGCACATTGCATTGTGCACCCACAGTCTAAATCTAGTCTTGTCCCATCACCATTTTATCCTGTTTACCCTCCTCTATCTACCCCCACCCCCTTTCCCTCTGGTTATCACCATTTTGTTGTCCATGTCCATGAGATTTTTTTCTTACTCCTTTCACCAATTCCTTAGCTATTGTCCTAATACCATTCCCTCATTATTTTCTCAACCTAACTCATTACTTGCCTACTGGTGCTGGTCTCTGTTCTGCTCTGATGACCCAAACTTAGAAGCTATCTCTCCCAGAATGTTGTTGCTCATGCAGTCACACAACACAAGTTTTCTAAATGTTGGCATAATGGAGTGAAGGATTATTTCATCACCTAATATAGCCCAGATGATGACACTTACTGTAAGGCATTTATATTGTTAAATGCTTTATGGCTATTCCTGACAATAGGATTTTCTTCTGCTATCTTTATTCCTATACTTCTCTCTCTCGGCTATTCCTGACAATAGGATTTTCTTCTGCTATCTTTATTCTTGTACCTCTCACCCCCCCCTCTCCTTTTCTCACACACACACCATGTTGCGAGGTCTCTCGCTCTCTCTTCTTTAGTCACCCTTATAATGCTCCCCTTATTCCCATTTCTATTTAAAATATTAATTGAAAGCAAAAACTCTTCCAATTTTATTTTATAGAAG